CAAAGGTTTTGTATTTTGTTAAGAATTTTGTTTTTAAAAGTCAATGTGATATCTCGGACTCGTATTCAGGTCGGGTAGGGTTGGGGTGTTACACAAATTTTTCATGCTAAGTCTACCGAGAATATTATCAATGTAAACTTTTATTAAAGATGGACATAAATTTTTATGGTAGGAGATGAATTTTTAAAATTTTAAAGGAACACTGTGCAAATATGAAAAAAATATATGTCACATTTTTCTATTAGAAATTTACTGGATAAAAATTTCTTAGCTTTACAGGTTTGACTAAAGCACATTTATCTAGTAGAATGTCATTTACAAATAATAGTAGGATAAAAATTTTGTCCGACAAACTTTATATATATGGGCTAATCAACTATATTTTCCCTAAAAAAAAGGCTATGGTACATTGTCTTGATGCTTCTGAAAACCATAAATGGATTTCTAGTAAACATTTTGTTTTGTTATAAATATAAAACATGTCATAACTTTTAAAATCTTTTAAAATTAAAGATTTAAGGGTTAAATTTATTTTAATTTATTAAAATTATGACCAAATTGATAGAATATATAAGTAATAGTGATCAAATATGTAATTATACCAAATATTTTAATTGTTGCATCAGCTTCTCCGTTAAATATTAACCCAAGTGGGTTAAATATTAACCCAAGTGGTTAATTGAATGTATTTATATAGTTGAGTTACCTGATAGACAAAATTTCAAAAATATTGGTCAAAATGGGAAAAAAGAGTAATAGTTAGATGGTCACTGATATAATTTACCCTTTATTTTAAATAATTTATCTATAAACTTTTAAATAATTTTATAATTATACGTTGAGTCCTTTAAAATTTAAATTTTTAAAAATTAAATTGTTATTGCTCGTCGTAAATAATGTTTATCGATGCTCATCGATTTTACATACAAAATGTTAAAAGTATACATTTCACGTCTTCCTAATAAAAAAAAATTGATCGAATTATTAAAAAAAATTAGTCTCACAACAGAAAAATATGTACTTCAAAAAATAAAGGACCTAAAAAATTTTGAATTATAAATTTAGAACAATTGTATAGTGTATCCCTAAATTATTATCTATATTTTAGTTTGCCCTCAAAATTTTAAATATTTCAATTTTATCCCCAAATTATGGTTCTTATTTTAAACTAATCTTCAAACTTTTAAATATTCCAACATTATTCCCAAACTATGATCCTTATTCTAAAAATGTCACTAAACTTTTGAATATTACAAATTTATCTAAACATATAATTAAGTTCAATCATAATTTAATCTGAATTTTATTTTATTTCAAAGATATAATAATATAGTTTGGAGTATAATTTAAACTATGAAATTGAAATGTTCATATGTATGGAGTATAATTTAGAATGAGGGTCATAATCTGGGATGAAATTGGACATTCAAAATTTGAACACTAATTTAAAATAACAGACAGAGTATAAGGATAAAATTGAACTAATCAAAAGTTCAGGGACTAATTTAAAATAAAAGTTATATTTTAAGAACTTATAATGCAATTAACTCATAATTACTATTATTTTCTGTTGTTGTCGTCATTATTATATTGCCTCCAGCAGCAACCACCAATGTCTGACCCTAACCAACCTAGACTCTCAGCTCAGGGCTAGTCAAACCTATTTGTATTCTCTTAAATACCCCCATTCTTTTCCTATAATTCCATCCATTCCAAAGCCTCCTTCAATGTTAATATTTACAATTCACAGGGGCCTAAATGACAATTTACGTAAAGAAAAAAGAGGAAAATAAATAGATTTTTCGCCTCCCAAATCCCAACCACAATTTTTCTGAATCCATATGCACCAACAAATGGGAAATGATCACCTCCCTAACCAAATCCTGCCACGTCATCATCATGACTTCAGGGGTGACGTTTTCCTTCCAGCTCAGCTCCCTATCCGCAATGGAGGACAACAGATTAATTCATTTAATTTTAAAATGCGAATATGAGTTTGTTTGTTTAAAAAAAATAGTTTTCAAAAAATAAATTTTATAAAATGAATTATATTTATTAAAAATTATTTTTTAAAAATTATTTTACGTTGTTTGAATGATGTTATGTAATTTATTTTTCACTAGTTGATAATATTTTTAAAAATTCTTAATTATAAATATCAAATACAATAAATAATATTATTTGTTAATAAAATAATATTTTTAAAATATTAATCTAATTTATTTAATATTATTTTTTCAATATAATTATTAAAATATTATATATATAATTTTATAAATAAAAATATTATGATTAATATATTTTATTTAAATAAAATTATTATGAATTATAGTAATTATTTATTAAAATAATAATAATAATAATATATTATTAATTATATTAATTATTTATTAAAATAATAATACTATTAAAATATAAAAATTATAATATTAAAACAAGAACATTATATTATACTTTAAGGAGTATATATTAAATATTCATCAATTCAATAATATTATTTTTATTAAATTAATAAATAATATTGATTTTATTAGTAATTTATTATATATTATTAAAATATATATTATATGTTATATATTATAATTATAATAATAAAATATTATATTATATTATTAAAATAATCAATAAATATAATTTAATAATTAATATTTATTAAAATAATATATGAATGTTAGATATATAAAATAATAATATTTTGAATGCTTATGTTTTTGAAGGAAAAAGTTTATAAAATGATTTACGGAAAATAAAATATTAAGTTATTTTTCAGAAAGTACAAAGTAAATTCAATTGACCAGGAAAATGAATTATATTGTTCGTCTATTTTCCGTCAACTAAACACTGAAAAATAAAGAAAATATTTTTTCAAAAACCAATTACAGGAAAATAAATAAATCCTATGTTTTAAATTTTAAATATTTTATTATTTGTATTTATTTCGAGTGATCGATTACAATTTAAATTCGTTAAGATCAGTATTTAGGAAATATCATAATAATATTAAAGGTAAATTATGTAAATACTTTCTTTTATTTTTTATCGATCTTTAGTTATTGATTTAAAAATCAAACGCACTTAATCCTTACATTATTAGTCCATTCAGTTTAAATCTCTCAACCGATAATTTTCGTTAACCCATTAATATAAATATTGCATAACAACTATTTTGAAAAATAAATCACCGGAAATCACCGTTTTCTGTTTCAAACAAGATAAATCCTTGCCAAAAACTCCATCACAAATACCAAAGTGAACCAAGCTTTCTTCAAGAACCAGAAAAGGTCCCTTCTTTTGTCGCTCATAGATTCTTCAGTCTTCTGGGGAACCATCACGGGGAGTTCGTTCTCATCGCTCGCCTTCCTGCTACTGGCCATCAACATGGACATCAAGGAGATCTCGTCTCCTAAAGCACGATGAATCCTGAGCACGAAGCACTTGTACGCAATTAAAAGATGGATCTCCCACAAGGGTTTCTCCGTATTCGATGGAGTACTTACTGATAAATCCGCCACGTATTCAATGTGTTGAAAATAATGTCCCTCAAAATGATTTTTGGGGTTTTGATTTTGTGAGGGTTAGGGTTTTTAATGGTTGAGCATGGTTGGCTGCTCAGGGAGATCCATCGAAGTTGTAAAGAAGAACAAGAACAAGAACGTAGATGCACGCCAATTTTTTTCTAAATTTTTTAATTCTCAGTAATATTTCTATTAATAGATTAGTGGAAACTGTGCATACTGATAATCTAAATGATTAAACGCGTCTGATTTTTAAACTGATGATCATATTCGATAAAATAAAAAATAAAAAAAATTAATCGCATAAATCATCATAATATTAAACATTTAAAATTTTTATTCGTACAAGTAACACAAATTAGGATTTAAATCAACATTTTAGTAAACAATATCTATTTCTCATCCTTAAATGAAGGGACTGGATGTCACATGTGGGTATATATTCAGATACAGCGTGGACCACGTATCTATCCCGGTCTCTTTCAACAACTCAGTGACACGTAAGGTGAAGCCCAAAGTCATTTATTACGTGCTGAAGTGTAAAGAGACCAGGCCTATCTATCCATGAAAACACGTGATTGCTTTCTTCGCCTTTTTCTTGAAGATGACACGTGGGACATTGGGTTTCACGAAATTTACAAAACACGTGGAGATGTTGACTGAATGCCACGTAATAGTAACCTTGGTTGCCGTGACGGCCAAAAGTTTCAAATTTGCCAGCTGGGTTTACTAGATAATCTACTGGCCAATCTTATCCTCTCCCATTATTTTTTACATTGTGCATTTTTCCCCTAAAATAAGGAACTTTCAAAATAAGGAAAGCAAATATATTAAATATTTGGGTAAACTATGAATTTAGTCATCTATTTATTTTTATAATTTTATTTTGATCATCGAATTATTTTTTAAATCATGTTTCACTTTATGTTTTTAATTTATTTTGATCACTCATCTTTAATAAATAAATAAAATTGTTAAAATATTTTTTTTTCAATGATGGTACAAAATTACTTTACTATGACATATTAACATCATCATCAAAAAATCAAAATGAAATCAAAACATAACCTCATGTATAATTTTTTTTAAATTAATATACAGTTTATCCTAAATAATTTTAGGGGGTTCATATAAATTTTATATAAAATAACTATTAATTATTCATATAAATTATATTCTTTATTTTTGCGGTGATGTATTTCTCAAATTATTCAATAAAGAAAATGTATTTCCCAAATTTTGTGTTGAGAAAAAAAATGACAGAGGGACCCACAAGATTCAGCTGCAACTTGCTCAACCAGTTAATCTTTAAAGAACGGGTGTGATCAATTTATATGAAATCGAACGGCCGAAGCATCCTGGCAGCAACAAAACTTGATTCTTTTTTTTCACGAACGGCATTGCAAGATCACTATGGTTTGCAAAAACAATATCAATAAAATATAAAGGAAAGAGAAGGGAAGAAATGAGGAGATTTTGTCAATGTGACTGATCCTTTTATATAAAGAAGGGTCCAAAACAAACCCTAGAATTTTCCATATTTTCCCCCCTCAAATTTTTCATTTTTTGGATCCAAAGGGTTCCCATTAAAGGCATAAACTTGTGCTTTGAAGGGAGAGGTTAGTTTCAAAGTTTCATATTTTATTGTTTGAATACTTGCTTCCATTAAGTTTGAATTGATTTGGTTTCAGAAAGCTATTGTATTTTTAGATTCGTTTTGATTGAATTCGGATATAATATTTAATTGGGTTGTTCTATATTTTGGATATAATTTATTCATGGGTTTATTTTGTTTTCTGATATTCTCGTTTATAGATGATGTTTTTTTGTTGATACTAAATGCAGGATGTGCTGAATTAAAAGAGTATTTTGGGAACAGAAATGAAAACCTTTGAGTGATCTTATTTATTGCATGTGTTTTTGAGATCTTTGTGTTTGATTCTTGTTTTGGGTGATAACTTAAAAGGAGGGTTAAAGATGATATCAAGATCATATACCAATCTCTTAGATCTAGCGTCTGGTAATTTCCTTGGTCAACCGAATGAACACAAGCGGCTGCCGCGGGTGATGACTGTGGCCGGTGTTATTTCGGAGCTCGATGATGAGCAGGCTAATAGTGTCACCTCAGATGTACAGTCCTCGGTTATTCAAGACAGGATTATTATCGTAGCTAATCAGCTGCCAGTTAAAGCTAAACGTAGGCCTGATAATAAAGGGTGGAGTTTTAGTTGGGATGACGATTCGTTGTTATTACAGTTAAAAGATGGTTTGCCTGAAGATTTGGAGGTTTTGTACGTCGGTTCTTTGAACGTTGATGTTGATCCCAGCGAACAAGACGACGTATCACAGCTTTTGTTGGATATGTTTAAGTGTGTCCCCGCGTTTCTTCCGCCTGATATTTTCACAAAGTTCTATCATGGTTTCTGTAAACAACATTTATGGCCGCTTTTCCATTATATGCTTCCGTTTTCAGCAAATCATGGATGCAGGTTCGATAGGACTTTGTGGGAGGCTTACGTTGCTGCAAATAAGATTTTTTATCAAAGGGTGATCGAGGTTATTAACCCAGAAGATGATTATGTATGGATCCATGACTATCATTTGATGGTGTTGCCTACATTCTTAAGGAGAAGGTTTAACAGATTGAGAATGGGTTTTTTCCTACATAGCCCATTCCCTTCATCCGAGATATATAGGACTTCGCCCGTGAGGGAAGAGATCCTGAAGGCTCTCTTGAATTCAGACCTTATTGGTTTTCATACTTTTGACTATGCTCGACATTTTCTGTCTTGTTGTAGTCGTATGCTAGGTTTGGACTATCAGTCGAAGAGGGGTTATATTGGACTGGAGTACTATGGAAGGACAATTGGGATAAAGATCATGCCTGTTGGGATACATATGGGGCAGATTCAGTCTGCATTGAGACTCACGGATAAGGAGTGGAGAGTCGAAGAGCTTAAACAACAGTTTGAAGGAAAGACTGTATTGCTTGGAGTTGATGATATGGATGTCTTTAAAGGTGTTAACCTGAAGCTGTTGGCAATGGAGCAGATGCTGAAACAGCACCCGAAGTGGCAGGGAAGAGCAGTTCTGGTACAGATCACGAACCCGGCCCGGGGAAAAGGGAAAGATATCGAGGAGATAGAGGTCGAAATACAGGCAAGCTGCAAGAGAATCAATGAGACTTTTGGACAACCTGGCTATAAACCGATTGTCTTTATTGATAGGCCGGTATGCATCAGCGAAAGAGTTGCATACTACACTGTAGCTGAGTGCGTTGTAGTCACAGCTGTAAGGGATGGGATGAATCTTACTCCTTACGAGTACGTTGTGTGCCGACAAGGAGTCTCTGAATCCGACTCGTCCTCAGAATCAAGTGGACCTAAGAAGAGCATGCTTGTTGTATCGGAGTTTATTGGTTGCTCTCCTTCACTTAGTGGTGCAATTCGGATAAATCCGTGGAATATTGAAGCAACTGCAGAGGCAATGAGTGATGCAATCTCAATGGCGGATGCTGAGAAGCAGTTGCGACATGAGAAGCATTATAGATACGTTAGCACACACGATGTAGCGTATTGGTCTCGAAGCTTCTTCCAGAATATGGAAAGGACATGTAAAGACCATTTTAGAAGACGTTGTTGGGGAATTGGTTTGAGCTTCGGATTCAGAGTTGTAGCCCTTGATCCTAACTTCAGAAAGTTGTCTATCGATCACATCGTATCCGTGTATCTAAGGTCCAAAAATAGGGCTATACTATTGGACTATGATGGAACCGTAATGCCTCAAACTTCACATAACAAGACCCCAAGTGCAGAAGTTATCTCAATCATAAATACACTCTCTGGTGATCCAAAGAATACAGTCTTTGTTGTAAGTGGAAGAGGAAAAGATAGATTAAGCAAATGGTTTTCTCCATGTAAGAAGCTAGGAATTGCAGCTGAACATGGATATTTCATGAGGTAGGTTGTTTCTTTTTCCTCCATTTTTTGTTTCTTCCTGATTTCCCGTTTTAGTGCCGCTTCTATAGGTGCACTTACCTCGAAGTTGTTGATGTTTCAGGTGGTCTGGTAACGATGAGTGGGAAGTTTGTGGGCATAACAGTGAATTTGGGTGGAAAGAAATGGCCGAGCCTGTTATGCAATTGTATACAGAGGCCACTGATGGCTCCTCAATTGAATCCAAGGAGAGTGCATTGGTCTGGCACCATCGCGACGCAGACCTGGGTTTCGGATCTAGCCAGGCGAAGGAGATGTTAGACCATCTCGAGAGTGTATTAGCAAATGAACCGGTGGCTGTAAAAGCGGGCCAGTTTATTGTTGAAGTGAAACCACAGGTGTATACTTAACTTCGGTTTTGATATTCTATTTGTTTATTCGAGATTCTGACTTTTTTATGTATACTTAACGATCATAAACAATTAAACATTGTTTTTATTGATTTGGACGAACACTCGAGATTCATCAACTTTCAATGTTGCTTTTAGGGTGTCAGTAAAGGTTTGGTGGCTGAAAAGATCTTCACGTCGATGTCGGAGAAAGGAAAGCAGGCTGATTTTGTACTCTGCATTGGGGATGACAGATCCGATGAGGAGATGTTTGAGATCATCAGTAGCGCAATTTCCAGTGGTATCCTGTCGTCGAAAACGAATGTGTTCGCGTGCACAGTCGGCCAGAAACCTAGCAAAGCCAAGTATTATTTGGATGACCCGGTGGAGGTTTTACTCATGCTAGAAGGTCTTGCAGAAGCTTCAGACCCTGAACCCGTCACGGATAGCGAATCGGAAGGCACCCTGTGAAGTATCCCCCATGGCTTTCGTGCAAAATTTCCGTCGTGTCAGGAAGAATGCCTTTGCTTGATGAAAAAGAATGTCGGCCACTGAAAAATATACAAGCGAAGAACTTTTTCACATGAAAGGGAACTGCTGTGTAGCCATATGGAGACGGAGAATAAGTTTTATTTGTGCAGTCATAAAAGATTGAACTGGAATACGGTCGGGTATCATTAGAAAAAAGAAACAGAATCAAATTCTTGGGGTGGTGGTTTCTGCTGGGTAGAAAAGTCATCCTGTTGAATGGACGTATACAAATTTGACCTTTTTTTCTTGTTTTTTGAGTGTTCTTTTGTTTGCACATTGAATCCATTGCTTCTTCATTGAATTCTGTAAATGTTATAGAAACATTGCATATTTGAAACTAGTTTTTCCATGTTTACATTCATTTAGAACCCAGGTGTAGGAATATATATATATATATAATAGTGATCGAAGAACCTACTGAGTGGTACCAATGCGCGAAGTTCTTTCTTTTAAAAAAAGAGGTGAAACCTACTTTAAATCTTTGAATTTGATAATCAGAACTGTCATCATTCTCGAACATTAGCCTAACAATTTTCCCCGCCTAATTGGGACATTGAATCATATTGATAGAGCTTCGAGGCCAAAGAAGCCCAGTTCGCTGGCTCTCTCCTTCTCAAATGTCTCAAAGTACTGATATATGATGGTTACAGCAAGCAATATCCCAGTCCCTGAACCAATGGCTCCCATGAAATCAGCTAATTCGGTCAATGCAACGATGCACATTCCACCAAAGGCAGCTGCTGTCGGTATGTAGCGGTTCAGTTCCTTCTGCAGATTCGAATCTCTGTGTCCGGGCATCACCATTTGCTGTTCCTGTAAACAGAACCACAAAACATAGAAACACTATAAGATACATCACATAGAGCTTCTCGAGTTCTGAACTTCGAAAACTCGATCCCGAAAACTTTTTAAGTTCTGACTTTCTAAAATTCTTTCTATCAAGTTCTCGGTTTAAAGAAGGAATAGAAGAAAGAGGTAACAAGGAAATGTGAAACCAACAGAGCAATTAAGCATTGGCATCCTTCCATCACATGCTAAGCAAGGGAATTCATGATCAACAATGTCCATTATCATGCATGATGCAAACACGATTACGCTACTCAGCAGTTAGGTTACCTTGAGCTGCTCAGTCACATCTTTGGCTGAAGAACCAGAAACTTCAATCCAAGTTTTTGAAAACAAAAAACAGTCCGAAAGCATGAACACCAGATAAAAAAGAGCATGGAAGGAATTTGCTGCCATGTCTGCCAAGCTGTAAGCTATAACCAGAAAGAAAGAAAAAAACCAAACAAATGAAAATGCAGACATCAGGAATGTGATGCATTGGCACACTGAATGTGTTAAAAGAGATGCAAGAGAAACAAGATTGATTCTAACCTCGCAGGTGCAGTAACATAGCATGCTAAACCACCGGAATAAACTGACCACCTGAATATTCAGATTCCTTCCACTTGCCCAACACTTCCTGTACAGCAACTGTTGCAGAGTAAACAGCGTTGGCGAAGTTCGATAATAAAAGTAAGATGAAAGGCTATCATTTTTACAATTCATATGGTGTAAAGGAGGTACCTGGGAGATGAAATAAAGATTTGAAACAAAAGCAGATTGAAGGATGATAAGCATGTTGGAAGTGTAGAATAACTTAATTGGATATGACCCCTGTTGTCCACGAGCATTTTTTGATCTTAAAGGCAAAACAACACGGAAACCTTGGAAGTAGATGACAATAAGGAAGATCAATACTGTAGCTAGTAAATTTGTAACATTTGGAAGATTCTGCCGATAGAAAGCCTCGGGAAGTGCTCTAACTTTGTCCGTCCTGGTTATCATTTGATGGAACATAGCAATGACAGCACCTTCAAATTCAGCCCCACGGCCACTGTTGATGGTTGTAGGGCTAAAGGCTTTCCTTATTATGTTTTCACTGCACAAGCAGAATGGCACTTAGGATATTGTCATGCTGATATGCATTTGAATTAAGTCAAAAAAATGGTTAAAACAAAGCGATAAATACCAGATATTGGTGGCTATGAAGAGTGACATACCAGAGCCCAAACCATATCCCTTCTGGAGAAGTTCATCCAGGCAGATCACAATGATTCCAGCAAAGCAAAGTTGAATAATAATAAGAATAGCATTCCCGACACCAAGCTGACCGACACTGCCATACATAGACAATACATATGCCACTGCTTGACCCACAGCAATCAGGATGCCCAACAACTTTTGAGCCCCATTTCTGCGAAGTACACATTAAAGCACAAAAGATTATAATATGCACATAAAGATCATAAAGGATATATAAAGATATGGTCTTAGATATCACAAGCACGTACAAATCAGTACTGAACAAAAAGCAACAATGGCACAAGTATTGTTGCATTTTATAAGTGAAACTAACTGCCGAATAAATCAAATATAGAAATGAAAATGTTTTCTAGTAAAAAGAAGTTCCATGAATCGAGTAACCATGTCAAAACGCTAAAATAGACGATAATGTGGAAAACACTTACAAGAGTGCACGATCCTCACGAACACTATTGTCCACCTCAATGATCTTCGAACCAGCCAGGAGTTGCATCACCAATCCAGGTGTCACAATGGGGGTGATTCCAAGTTCCATGACAGTTCCACGGTTTGACGCAAGTATAATACGCATCCAATAGAAAGGATCAGCACCGGTCGTGGAATGTATTCCATAAAGTGGAAGCTGGCTGCACACCAGAAAGATGAAGAGGGAGATCACAGTGTAGATGACCTTCTCTCTGAAGGGAATTTTCCTGTCAGCACTCTGAACCTCAGGCAGAAACGAAAGAAATGGTCGAACCAGATGTAGCACTCTGAACACTCCTCCCATATTGTCAATTCAGAACTGAATTACACCAATAATTCAGAAATGGGTTGTCAGTAAAGGAACTTGCCACAAATATATTGAATTTAAGAGATTGCAAGAAAAAGCTAATGCCATGAATTTACTGAGAGGATAGAAACATTTTCCCAAGGTTCAGCACTAAATTAGAACACAAATTTAATGATTCTTATCCTAATTACTATCCAACTTGATCTCAATCTCTAAATAACTCATCTGTGTTCCACAATCGGAACAATGATTTCTTCTTCTTTTAAAATTAATTAGAGCAATGATTACGTGGAAAGGGATATGATCATTAAAGAAAAACACCATAATTTGATATCAAAGTCAACAATAATGAATAAATTTAATCTAATTTAATTACAGGTAAAATTCGTTCAATCATTAATCATTGCCTACTACATATCAACACAAGTTCGAAAGGGTGGAAAAGCGTGATTTCAAATAATGTTGATAGTCAAGGGTGCATGCTTAGGAGATTTATGAAAACGATCGGTTCAAATTAGCTAATGTAGAAAGAACCGAAATGAACTTCCGCTGATAAATAGATCAACGAAAATGGAAGCAGATCTACAACTCCGTCAATTAAATCTGGTAAATCCGCCTTTAAAAAGCTTACTTTTCTTTCACACAAAAAAGCACGCAAATCCAGACCCGGTATCATCCAACCAGCAGATATTTAACAAATCATTTTCCAGTAAAAAATATTCTCCAGAAACAAATCATTTTTGTTTCATTTTTTTAAATTATAATCATTCGATCTAAAAAAATTAATATGTGATCACTTTTATTTTATTTTAATTAATACTCTATCAATTTTGTTTTATTTTAATTAAGACATGATCACTTAACATAAATAACTGTTAAACCTTTAACAATTATTTGACGTGACACATTAATAGGGATCATTTTATAAATTCAAGAAATTTAGGAATAAAGTTCTCATTTACCCCCTTTTTTATAAAAGTTATCTTCTTCTCCTAGCTTCCCACTTACTCGTTCAAAGTATTGGCCACAACTCGAACTCATGCTCGTTCGTAACGTCGATACTGGACTCCCCAAAGTTGTAAAACTCTGATGCTCTTTGTGCGACGGTGTTTTCTCAGCGTCTAATCCTTCACGAACAACTCCAGAACATCTAAAGAGGGGAACATGTCCCAAGTTTAACGCTTTTGCTTAACCCATTTCTTTTGTTTCGCCATCTTCGACAACGGTAGTAGCTGGAACCGTTGTGATAGAAAACGACGTTCTTCTTCGGTCACGGTAACTGCCACAAACCAGGACCTTGTCGCATCCGGTTCTATTCCGGATTGCTCTTATCAGGCTACTCTGTTGGCTATTGTTGAGCCTTCAAGATCATTTGGGGAGTTAGCTTACTCGTCGTCGCCTGGGGCAATTGTGACGGCTAGTGATAGAAGTTTTGCGCCATAAAATCAACTCATTTGGTATTATCTGTTGAAAAAATCAAAAACCACATGGGCTGCTAGTTAGCAGCCTGTGGCTTTGAAAAAAAAATATTATTAGCCAATTTTGTTGAATATTTGCTAAAGGGGATAATTACATTTAGTCATTAAACTTTAGGGTACTTACAAGATTAGTCCTCAAGCTTCAACTATAAATACTCTATCCCATTTAGCTTCAAAACCATCCCAAAGCTTTCTAGTTTTCTTCCAATACTAGAGAATTTAGAGAGTTTCTTGAGAGTTATTTTTCTCCTTTTTATCAAGAGAGAATTATCATTGTTTTCTCCTTGGTAGATTAAGAGAGGTTGTAATTCTTTTTTTCTCATAGTGAAATTATTCTACCGTTGCCCGTGATTTTTACCCTATATTATTTAGGGGTTTTCCAAGTAAATTTTGTGTCTCTTTTATCTTCATTTTTATTTTTTCAAATTATCAGTTGCGATTTTGTTCTATCTGATAGCCGTCTTCTGCAATAATTGGTATCAGAGCCAGATTAGAGTGTGTAATATTTGCTTATTGTCTTTGTGGTTGCCACCAAAAGGTGGATCCTCCAACATAAGAAAGTAAGAAGTTATTACTCATTCTTTGAAGGTTCCAGAGAACTATTCACGATAGTGAAATAGTGGGAGCTATCCGTAAAAGAAGCTATGACAACGAAATTTGATATTGAAAAATTCAATGGGAGAAATTTCTCATTGTGGAAATTGAAGATGAAGGCCATCCTGAAGAAAGACGGTTGTCTAGCAGCTATCAGTGAAAGACCAGTGAATTTCACAGATGACAACAAATGGATCAAAATGGACGGGAATGCTATGGCAAACTTTCATCTAGCATTAGTAGATGAAGTATTGTCAAGCATCGAGGAGAAGAAGATAGCTAAGGAGATATGGGATCATCTCACCAAATTGTACGAGGTCACATCGCTGCACAATAAAATTTTTCTTAAGAGGAAATTGTACACTCTCCGTATGTCAGAATCTACTTCAGTGATAGAGCACTTAAACACACCGAACACGTTATTTTCTCAGCTTACATCCTTAAGATGTACAATAAGAGAACAAGAACGTGCTGAACTTCTACTTCAAAGTCTACCTGATTCGTATGATCAACTCATCATCAACTTGACAAACAATAATGTCACCAGTCTAGTCTTCGATGACGTTGCAGCTGCTGTTCTCCAAGAAGAAAATCGGCGCAAGAACAAGAAAGACAGACAAGTAAATCTGCAACAAGCAGAAGCGTTGACAACGATGAGAGGGAGATCAACAGAATGTGGCCAAAGTAGCAGTCACAAACATGATAGATCGAAGTCGATAAGCAAGAAGAATTTAAAATACTACAGCTGTGGAAAGAATGGTCACTTGAAGAAGAATTGTTGGAGTCTAAATAAAAACTCCAATCCATAAGGTAATACCGCAAATACTTCAGATGATGGAGATGCTCTATGTTGTGAAGTGTCAACCACCGTGGAAGGCATAAAGAGATATGCAGATATATGGCTCATTGATTCGGGAGCAACATATCACATGACCTCAAGAAGAGAATGGTTCCATCATTATGAATCTGTCTCAAGAGGATATGTGTATAGTTGCAATGATCATACCTTAGAGATCATTGGCATGAGAACCATCAAATTGAAGATGTATGATGGAACAATTAAAGTTGTTCGAGATGTGCGGCACGTGAAATGCCTGAAGAAAAATTTATTATCCTACGGATTGTTGGATAATAATGCAAGAAAGATTGAAACACGGAAATGAATCATGAAGGTGTTTCGTGGAGCGCTTGTGGTGCTGAAAGGCGAAAAGATAGCTGCAAACTTGTACATGTTGAAGGGAGAGACTTTGCTAGAAGCAGAAGCCTTTGTTGCCTCATGTAGTTCAGATTCTGCAATGTTATGGCATCAGAAACTTGGACAGATGTCAGAACAAGGAATGAAAGTCCTTGTAGAGAAAAAATTACTTCCAGGCTTAACAAAGGTATCACTTACTTTGTGTGAGCATTGCATAACAAGTAAACAGCACCGGTTGAAATTCAACACATCAAATTCTAGAGGCAAAAGTGTTCTAGAATTGGTTCACTCTGATGTATGGAAAGCACCAGTTACATCCCTAGGCAGAGCAAAATATTTTGTCTCATTTATTGATGATTACTCCAGGAGATATTGGGTGTACCCTATTAAGAAAAAGTCAGATGTGTTTTTCACTTTCAAAAACTTCAAAGCACGGGTGGAACTTGATTTTGGAAATAAGATCAAGTGTTTCAGAACAGATAATGGAGGAGAATACACAAGCGAAGAATTTGATGACTTTTGCAGGAAATAATGCATCAAAAGACAGTTCACAATGGCGAACACTCCTCAACAAAATGGAGTGACAGAGTGGATAAACAGAACCTTGTTAGAAAGAAAAAGAGCAATGTTGAGGGATGCAGGCCTAGAAAAATCATTCTGGGCAGAAGCAGTCAATACCGCCTGTTATTTGGTGAATCGAGCTCCATCAACTGCAATAGAGATGAAGACACCAAAGGAGATGTAGACTGGTAAACCAACTGATTATTCAAACCTCCATGTATTTGGAAGTATTGTGTACGTGATGTACAACTGTAACATCCTCAATACCGGGTTAGTGACTAAATTGTAAAGTCTCAAAATTTGGTGGTTAAAATAAAATGAATGAATAGTATAAAAATTTACATGTAAATTATTGTGAATGATGGAATTGAAATGAATAAGAAATGGAAGGACAATAGATAATTGCAAGGAAAAATAATTAAAGAAAGGATAAGTATATATATATAAGGATACACGTGGGTGGAATGAGAGAAAACACCCAAGGCTTCCAGAGTTCTCTTCTTCTTCTTTCTTCCTTATGCGTGTGAACCAAAGCAAAGGTAAGATTTATGATTATTGAGTTTCTTGTTAAATTTAAGATTGGTTTTTGATTATTAGATGATAACTAAGCTTAAGGAAAGCTTAAGTTATCTTAACATCAAAGGATGATAGAGTTAGGAGAGATTTAAGATTTGAAGTTCTTAAATGAAATCTTGGAATAAAGTTCATAACTAGAATTGAAAGTTAAATTTGACTTGTCATCAATCTAGTTAAGATATACGAAGTGTTAAAAGTGGAATTCAAACATGTTGAATTATTGATGTAATTCTTGAATTACATATGAATGATAGGATTTAGAGGTTTAAGATGAAATAAATGAGTATAAATTGGTTTAAGGATGTGTACTAGAGTTAAGAATGAAAAAGGGGATTAAACATGAAGGATTTAATCCAAAATGAATGAATTTTCGGGTTCAAAAAGAGGATTCTGGGCAGAGTGCATCGATGCATATTCATAGTGCATCGATTCATCAAGGTTAAAACCCAGAAATTGTTTGAAGGTGTATCGATGCACGGGTAGTGCATCGATGCACTCTTTTAAAATAAAAACATCGAATGCAATTAGTGCATCGATGCATAAGGCATGCATCGATGCATTCCATTAATAATAAAACATCGAATGCATTTTATGCACCG